TCAAACCTCATTTCGACATTGGCTTCGACGCGACCGTGATTTCCTCTACCGGAGACCCGAAGAGCTTCAGCTGACTCTAGAATTTCCCAACACAATGACTACTGTGAACGGTTCCGTCTTAACATGGCATATTCTCGAAAGAATGAGCTTTGATATGTACTCGACTACAATGGGCCATCACTACACCAATCTAACTTTCGTAGACAAGATCATCCAATTCCAGCCTTCGCAATTGGACTCGTGATGCAAGGGTGACCAGTCACCTTTGCTACACTCTGTGTTGGCATTCCATACCATACTTGACACCACAATCGAGTTAGGTCACCAAGCTTAGTTAGAGATAGCTCAATAGTGGTATGAACAGGTTTGGTCGCATAGAATTTTTCATTCTTTGAGCTATTCGTTCTTGAAGATCGATGGCTATTTCCACTCGAGATTAAGCGTTGTGTTACCGATTCGAACGTTTCGAACCCGTCGTTTTGGCCCATCAAGTGCTCCCGCGAAATTGATTGTACCAAGGCGTATCTTGGGGTTAGGGCATAGGTGCGCCACTCAATGGAATTGGATAAATATGCCTTTAAAAAATGTAGTCACCTAGTGACCCTCACAAATAGATAAGTTCAACTTTACTCGCTCGCTGGTTCACCCCGAACACTCTACCATACTATTGTTAAATAGTTGTTGTCCAATAACATACATTCATTTAGTTAGTTGGGAGTAGTGGGTAGTGGTGCGAAAGCATGATACGTTGCTACAGAACGTGTGAGATCCGAAGGTCTCAACCTCGAAGTTCTGTCGAAAACTTTCCGAAACTTGCAACGCTGGATGCTTCGCTCCGCATAAGTAGCGGCGAGGTTAGGGGATACTCTCATCTGCCAGTGGCACCGAATTGATTCTCTGTGGCAGACGGCCACAGAGAGTCAATTCGGTGCTCTCTGGGCCAGAGCCTCTGGATGATGACCCTCGTTTGACCACTCATGCCTCCCAAACCAACTTAAACCGGATGCGGGTGGGCGGGTGGGTGGTTCCCCATTATCTAAATGGTAACTGGATGTTAATCGATCCAACATCCCCCCACCACCACAACACAAACCATTCGCTCGTTTGTTGACCTAGCCCAATAAATTGACCTTCATACAGTCTTCCTCGTTTCGGCGAGCATTGCACGCGCATACCTAGCTTGCGTGCGGTGCTCGTCGAAAATTAGCGCAGCGCGGAAGCACATTGGGGAAGCTAGTAGATATCCCAAAATTCTTCATGTCAAGATCACCGAAATCTTGAGTCCATAATATAGACTCCATATACGTCAATACTATCCGAAGAAGCCCGACAAAGTGTCCCAGGTTCAGCCCCGGGGTGCAAAAATTTCCCCTTAACGGCTAGCATACGGGTCGCTATTTCAATGGACTCATCTTGAGCCTCGGATGCTTCATATCTTGTATTTCAGCAACACTCTGATCAGAATCGAACACTTAGGGTGTGACAGGTAGGAAGATTCTCAAATCTCGCTCGCTCGGATAACCTTGACCCATTCAGGGGACTTGCCGATACATGTTCTGGAATTTGGAGTACTTCAACCGGACTCAATCTAGTGTTCTAGCGAAACGATATCACATAACCCGAGGAGAATTCTTCTGCCAGCACCACAGACCCTGCTTCAACTAATGTTGAGTATTGGTGGGTAATTCCACTTATTGAGTTAACACAAGACAGACTTGATTAGCCTGATTCTAACTTATAACTTACAATTACAATTACAACACTAGCTTGACGCTAGATATCTTAGCTAACACAAGGGAGAGCGACTCCATAGGGACAACAATCACACAACCTTCTTCACATCCCCCCCTGATTGATCATTAGATCAATCACAAAAAACATTATCATAGAAAAGCAACTACATCATCTGCTCCATAATAAGGACGCAGATTAGCACGATGTTCCGACTTTTCTACTAAAAACTTATCCGCAATGACGATCGAAGCTCGATCGGGTAAAACTGTCTTAACGACAAAAGGACCAACCCAACCAGTAGCCATACGTACCAAGACCTTCATGCCAGCCGTTACCGAAGCTTGACGCAAACGTGACGGCTCTCTTTCACGTAAATCTCTCATCTTTGCCACCCATTCTCTTGAAATCATCAAGTTATCATCTCGCTGTCGACATTCCTCAACAGTGGGATTTGGAGACTCAACTTGATCGGGCTGACCTGGCTGAGCCACAAAACTTCGCCCAAACATCAACTCAAATGGTGTAGTATGCAATGGTTCCGGCAATACTACATTATTTAGTCTTCGCAATACACTCGGCACTTGATCAAACCATCTACCTGACCTTCTGACTCCATACAACTTGAAAACCTGTTTAACCTCTCGCATTCGTCTTTCTACTAAACCATTCGAGAAAGGACTCCGAGGGTTAATAAGGTGAACTCGAACATTATGTCGACCAAGGCATTCTCGAGTGTACTTCGACGAGAAACAGCCTGCTCTATCTGACCGTAACTCCTTCATGAAGCCAAAAGTAGAACAAACATCCATCAATACTGACACCAAATCCTTAGCAGTCGAACTCTTCATACCCTTCACTACTGTATACCGCGAATAGTGGTCACACAGCACCAAGCAATAAGTGTAACCTTTTGACATCGGTAGAGGGCCACATAGGTCTCCCGACACCATTTGCCATGGGGCCTTACAACAATCCGCATAATCTAGCACATTATCAGGACATACCGAGAATGGGCGTTGTAATATCACATCACCACAACGCTTACAACCACGACATATCTTCTTTATCATAGATCGCATACCAGGCCACCACCAATCTCGAGATATATGCCACCTCGTCGCACGATCATTCAAATGACCAATACGGTCATGATACATCTCAACCAAGCTCTTAAGCTCAGTCTCTTCCACCGGATGCACCAACACTGTACGGAAATTGTCAAATGGGACCCCAGCAATACGTACCACCCGCACAAGCACCCGAACTCCATCACGTTCTTGTAATCGAAACACCGAACCATTGTCAACAATCTCATTACGAGGAGCTTGTTGACAACGTTTCACCAGACCAATAAGCAAAGGATCTTTCTGTTGACGGTCAAACAATTCAGCAAGATCACCAACCCCAATAACCTTCTGGAAATCGGTCCTCACCATCCGCGTCTTCTGAACTCTTTTTGTTGAACTCAGAATCTCCTCCAATGGAGAGCTCATATCAGTGCCCAAGCGGGATAACTTATCAGCACGAACATTCTCTTCCTTTCCTATATGGCGAACAGAGAAAGTTACACCCTCAAGCTTGGCTTGTGCTTCAGTGGCTAACATCAGTAACCTTCCAATAGCTACACGTTCTTGACTTCGTGTAATAGATTTGAAAGAGGCACCCTGCAACCAACAACAAGCAACCCGGCTATCGGTCTCAACCTTAACGTCTTTGATACCATATTTATTCAAAGCAAGGTCCGATAAGGAAAGGAGCAGTTCTACAATGCAGAAAAGCTCTTTCCGATTAATATGCCAGAACCTCCTACCACCTTTCCACCATCTCGCTCGCATACACAATGGTTGTTGGTCTGCACCTTCTAAGAACCATAACCAACCATATCCTATTGTTGACGCATCACATTGTGCCACAATAGTAGTACCACATTTCACCGGAAGAGTATGGGAATGGCATACAGTCCCATTTCCCACCATAGCAAAAACAGACATTAACACCTTCTTCTCCTCGATTGACAGTGAGTGTGGCTTATCCCATGCAGAGTCCCATCTACCAACGATCATTCTGCATGTATCTGCAACGAAACTCCACTCTGGATGACGTCGCAAGCCGTCATACCATTTTCCCACCAAGCTGAATAGCTGGCGTTTGCTGAACTTTCCCTCAATGACCGGCTTCTCAAAGGTAGCACAACTGACAGTGAGCTGATGGTCAACCACATCCCAAAAAACACCCAGATGCCGCGTTCGCGAAGAAGATGAACCATTAGAACATAATATGACTGCCTTAGAATCTGGTATTGGCAGACCATGCAATGCTGCCAACTCCCTAATCACAAGCACAGCCCGCTTAACCCTCGATGATGGCCCTATCAGGGTCAAATCATCAAGATAGGCCCATGCAAACACACCGTCCAGAACACCTGCCTGCTTGGCTAATGCCAATATTCTCTGAACAAACACTTCCAATGCTCCTGGCCCACACGATAGACCAAAAATTAGGCGACTACTGCTGTACCATTTATAGCACGTTCCCAACCAAAGGCGAGTTGGACAACCAGACGAGTTACAAATACGAATACGATAAAATGCACGGCTTATATCCAAACAAGCCATGCTAACACTACCATCATAATCAGCATCATTATTCATCTCACTGACAGCGTTCACTGCAAGAGCAATTTCACTCAATATTATACCAACATTCTCGCCAACATAACTAGCCTTTTCCATACGGCTATTCAGCCGCCTACAATCCGCCACAGGTCGCATTACCGTACTCTTCAAACTACTCTGAGGTAAGCCAAATATAATGATAGGATCATCATCATTATAATAATCATCCTTCTTCACATCGTTCCTAGTTGATTCTTCTCTCCACCAAGAATTAGCAATATAGGAATCAATCTCATCGAAGTACAGGCGTCTCTGCTCCATCGACAACTTCGCTAACAATGCCAAACTATAGTCTACAACTTGCTTCGACTCCTCAGCAACACATAAATCCGGAAACCTCACTTCACAAACATAGCGTTGACCTGGACAGTCGATCACATCGTCAGCATGAACCTCACGCACACGATAGAAATACTTTGGTGCAGCTGGTATCCTCTGCCAACCAAACACATACGACTCACACTTAAGGTCACCACCTTCATAATTGGGAGTATATGAGTCGACTTCACTGATAACGTCATCATCCAATTCCTCAATATCACTTGATATTGCATACGAATCTCCACAGGACCGTACTGCAAGGATATCCGGTACCACCGATTTATCCATAGCAGTCACCTCGGAGTCCTGTTCACACAACAAGGTACTCCTTCGGCCTTCGTTGATAAAGCCTGTGGATATACGAACTCCTTGTTCACACTCACAAATCGTGATAGAAGTTCCCAGTTTTGCCAAGAGCTTAATACCCCAAATCACCGAAGGACAATAACCTTGTACAACATAGAAAGGATGAACCAAAGAGACACCATTAGAGAACTTCAAAGCCAACGTTACTATTCCCTCAACTGTCCTCATACTGCCATCGGCCAGTTGAATAGAAGAATCAACTTTCTCCAACGGTATCACAGATGCACTTGACGACTGTAGAGCACAATATCTTCCATACGATAACAAAGCGTCAGCAGCACCTGTATCGACCAAACCTCGTAGTGGAACACCTTCCCACCATGCAGTAAGTACAGCACCACCGACATCTTCCTCCTCTTCCTCCTTGCTGTTCTGGAACGTTACGGTTCTTGATGGAATAATAACCGTTTCTACCATACCACTCCTATCAGCCATCTCAACCCGGTAATCATCATTAACACCAGCAGCCTTGGTAGTCATAGTCTCCGGCTTATTAGCAACTTGCTCAGATCCCCGTGAGCTCACCTCTTCTCTATTAGGACACCCACTAGCCAAATGTCCGATTTGACCACACTTCCAGCACTTACGCGGACCCTTATCGGCCGTGCATTCTCGTGCTAGATGGCCAGTCTTCCCACAATTATAACAACGGCGAACTCGTGAATTAGCACTTCTTGACGTCGCTGTTGTAACCGTTCCCGAACCACTCTTATCCTCGACAGTCAAGTCAATAACAGCAGAAGTTTGTCGAGATTTTTCTTCATCACCTTGGCATTGTTTAGATCGTCGCTCTAGCATGGCCACAGTACGAACCCAATCATTCCAAGTGTTCGCCACAACTGCGGCCGTTTGGCTAGCCAAAGCAGCAGAGCGTAAACCTCGTCGACTAATCATGATGAAGAAACTATCATCATAAGGCATATGTGAATGTCGACACTGATCTCTATACGTGGACACTCTCGATAGGAAGGTTAACACCGACTCCTTCTTATCTTGAACCAATCCAAGTAACTGATCCAACATCTTCTCATCCTCTACAACACCACCACATAACTGAGCCAAATTCGACCATAACTGACTGATAGCATTGGAATAACAAATACCACTAAGCTCATTTTCAATTTCTGGCCCAACCATTTGCCACACTTCTGGCGAAATAGCCCTCGACAGATAATGAAAAGTATGAGCAGGACTCCAATGTCTCAACTTAGCCAGCCTATCAGTCTCATTTCTAAATGCACTCATAGACCGGGAATCCGTCAAACCGGTGAAAGTAGCCTTCAACGGTAGACGATCAACCTCCTTGAGCACAGTGTTAAGATCTCTCAACGTATAGATACAATCACCGCTCACAACCTGATCAGCTGGCCTATTGCGTGACACATCAGGAAGCGCACTCACAGGTCTTGTCGAACCCTCCGACTTCACCTGGCGTAACATAGGAACCGGTGCCTTCACTTCAAGATCATTCACTTCTCTCAGATTTTTCAGGAAGCCAGGCACAAAGATACTATATGGGCTCGTATTCAACTCTCTCGCAGCCTCAATCTTATTATGCCGCAAATCCTTCATATCATCTTCAGATACTTGAAGTCTCGCCTGTCCCACACGGTGGACTAACTCCGACAAAACATAGTTAGCAAAAAACCCAGAAAGCATAACTGCATGGTGAACGAACTCGTTAGCATTCGGGTCACCTATCACAGTAGTCATCATAGCCGCAGATTTCTTGAGTAACCCTTCCTTCAACTCAGCGTATACCGGAACTTCGGACTCAAGCAAAGCGGTAAGACGATTGACTAATTGAAGAACCACTATACCAATCTTCACGTTGTTACCCTTCACGAAAACTTCATCAACCAAAGTCTCGGAAAGCTCAATAAAAGCAGAATTTAACCCATCGTGGAGCGCCATGTTGAGTATTGGTGGGTAATTCCACTTATTGAGTTAACACAAGACAGACTTGATTAGCCTGATTCTAACTTATAACTTACATTTACAATTACAACACTAGCTTGACGCTAGATATCTTAGCTAACACAAGGGGGAGCGACTCCATAGGGACAACAATCACACAACCTTCTTCACAGATTGGTGGAAGTTGAGTTAACCACTTTAGCACAACATTATGTGGCTTCATGCCTATGGCATGTTCTTGCTCCATTTTTGATTATCTGGAGAACAAATTCCTCGGACGCAATTGTCATTTAGTTTAGATGTAGCCGTGGATGTCATTTACAGTTATCCACTCATTCACCCAATCAGATGATAGTGTTTGCGGTACCTCATACATAGTTCGATGGACTAAGTTCGTCGGAGCGAGGAATAGCTGTGAGTCACAGCCTGTGACACGGCCTGCGAGAGGAGCGCAGCGTGGCTCGCTCTCAGCCCGATATCTGCGTGACGACGCTATTCCGCCCTGCATCGGTAGGTGGAAGCCGAAACATGGAATCAGTGTTAATCAACCATAGGCGATATCAATATTCAGTATTGATATAGCCTCACCGTGCCCCCCCGTGGGGCTCAGTTTCCTGGCAACTTGCATACTCTCGCACCATATATTGTCATTCTCGTCAATCCATTCGCCATAAACCTCGTCACATTCTTCAGATTCAGAACCAGAGGTGACTAGGGAGGTTTTATCAGTGTCTTTATTGCTTCCCTCATAGGCCGTTCGCTCCGGAAACCGTGATCATGTGCGCCATCTAAAATTCCAGGAATCGCTCAACTTGAGAATTTGAAAAGTTCGAGTTGACTTCGATGGATGGACATAACTTTGTTTCCAGGTGTAGTGACTGAACCACTTCTTTCACTGCAAGGTTGGTGTAAATTGCGGTGTATCTTACTCGTTTCAATGCCACAATTTGACTCACTGCAATAGTTCATCCACCTTCGAGCGCAGTGTAGGAATAGAAGTGATTTCTATGTCGAGCTTCCGACATAACTTAGAAATCAAAGAATCATAGAAATCTTTAGACATTTTGATAGGAATTAGCAGGGTTATTATATCAGCATACATTCGGCAATGACGAATCGTCATACTAAGTGAGTTGGAACCAACAACGACCGTAAGGTATCCTCGACGCTAGAACCTGCATTCAAGAGCTCTATTGTATCCCATTGGAAGACGTAACCTCTCGTATCATTCGTACCTATATTCAAACCCAGGTACTTCAAGAAATGCATCGCTACTAGGAGGGTATTTATTAAATCCTTTCATGGAGACTACGGCGGTAGGCGGCCGCTCGTTTTGAGAGTACAAAACCAACTGTACCCATTTTCCAAAATGATCATGCACGCAACTCTCAACTGATTATTTCAGGATCCCATTATAAAGTTCTCCAAAGACAACGTGGCGTCTTTCTCCGCCCATTCCCACGCCATACGAGATCGATGCAATGCTAAGAGCTGGTCAGTTGACAGTAATGAAGATGGACGACCAGTGGCCTGAAACGGATTCCTCTACAGCGATCCATAGACGCTGAGGAAGGTCCCTTACTCGCACTCGACCAGTCCCTGATGAAGTCGATTCATCCGAGTCCGAGAACCCGCAAACGGATAGGAAGCTGCGGAAATAGGGTGCTACCGAACCGGATGTCCAGAGATGACCGTGCCCACCAAACGGCGGGAAGACTGCAACAACCTGATACGAGCAGCAAACCGATCACAAAGGCGAGCGCTCTTTAATCATCACTTTGCCGGGAGGTGCTCCGCTGTTGGCGGCGATCCGCATTCCGTGGGAAACTGATATTATCATATCATCTCTTGGGTGAAGAACCATCAATGGGATTGGACACTCCGAGACGAGACGGATGACGTCCCAAGAGACCACCTGCACGCCGATCCGATCGCTATGAGCTTTTACGCTCCCATTCCATTTGTTTCATTCTCTTCTCAGCGTGAGGAGTCGATTATGAGAATTGCCCTAGGAGACAACGCGCTCCTTGTTATAGGACCCACCTGTCTCGGAGGCACTGCCAGTTTGTCAAGCATACATAGGCTCTTAGCCCAGGATAAATTCTCTTCTACGAATTCAGTAGCAAGTGATGACAACTTCGTATAGGGACTAATCATCGAACCACATTCAACACTGTTGAATCAACAGTGCCGGTAGATAACTCCAAGTAGTTGCTTGCCTCTGAAGGAAGAGCCCCGCAACTTGAATATGATATTGATGCCATAATCGATGAGCAAGACTAGCGGCAGCACCGGTGCCAATCGAAAAGCCTCCTATGATTATCTGCTCGAATGGGAACGATAGCTCATCCACGAGGAACCTGAGCATATTTCACCGACTCTAACCTAAAACCCACAAC